AAGCAGTATATATGACTAAGTCCTATTGCTAGTCCTTCCTTCCTTCCTTCCCTCCTTCCCTCCTTCCTTCCTTCCTTCCTTCCTTCCTTCTTCCTAAAGGTTGACACAGCCTTCTGTCCTTCCGTGGGTAAAATGAGGACCCAGATTGTTGGGGGTCAAGAGGCTGACTCTGTAAAACCGCTTAAAGAGGGCTGTAAAGCAATGTGAAGCAGTATATAAGTCTAAGTACTATTACTATAACCAAACATAGACTTATCATTGATGTCTTTGCTATAATCATATCAAAGCTTTTCTGATTCTGCAGCTTCATGTTGTACGTGACTTCCTGCCCCCAAACTGTGCTTAAGGCAATTAACTTGGACATATTTCAGAGAATGTCCTTCATAGCCACCTTTATAAAGCCATCTTATTGTAGATCAGTGGTTATCAACCTTTTCTTCACCACATGGACCCCCTTCTTAAGTGCCTTTTGTAGCCATGGACCCCCCAAGACTTAACTCAAGATTTAAATCATAACATTTTTTTCAAATCTTCTCAGACCCCCTGTGATGACATCGGGGCCCCCTGGGTTCCCATGGACCATAGGTTGAGAACAATTGTAGGTCATTAACAACAAATTGAAAAGAAACCCTAAACCTCACCTTGTGATTTTACTACCTGAAAAAAAAAGGATTGAGACTAAAACAATAATAAGCCCATATTCTTATCACCGCGCATTAGCTAATCTCTTCTTTTCCCACCTATTTAGGCCGTCTGAAGAACAATTCACCGTTTCTACTTTTTTCTCCTCACGGAGGAGAAAAAAGTAGTTAGCTCTTGTACTTAGCTCTTTCTTTTGCTACTTCAACCCCCTATTATTCTTCTGTAGCACCTAAATCTCAACTGCTTTACAAGCTGCTGTCAAGAATTTAGTACCTTAAGGCTGGCTTCAACACCTTTCTTTCATGTTTTATGCTTTTGCTCTGTTTTATAGTCATTATGCAGCTGCAGTAAATGGCTACAAATCAGGAGGAATGACTTCAGAGCACCACGTGAAGTGGGGAAAGGAAGAAAACAGTGAAATCCATTGCTTGGTTTGCTGAGAGAGTGCAACACTTTTTAATGCTGTAAGTCGTGATCTGACCTGTATCAAAGCAGGTTCTTCTTTCTGCCTTCTTTGAATAAACAAAATACTGTAGGTGACTGTATTTTTACAATTGTACCCAGTAAAGCCTAAATTCCAACTGCCACCAAAAAGTTAAATCTGTCCCTGTATACAGTGATGATGAAGGTGATTTTGTGTATGGCACAGATTAAGCTGCTCTCAGCCCGACTGTAAAAAAATAAGGGGGAAAGAAGAAGAGTCTTCCTGGTAGAAAGTTTTAATGAAGATTTAAGATTAAGATTTAAGATTTAATTTATTTGTATGCTGCCCTTCTCCGGGAGGGACTCAGGGCGGCGAACAANTCTCTACTTCCTTCCTTCCTCCTCTCCATCCCCTTCTTCCTTCCCTTACCTCTTCCCTACATTAAAAATGGATAACGAATAAGGAGATTATGAATGAAAGATAGAAATGCATAGTAGGGAAAACACTAACTGCAAAGAAACCGATTCGGAACTGCGGTATGATATACGATCGATGGAACTTATTGTTCCTATGTTGTTTTTAAGTTATGTGTTCGTTTTTGTTGATGTGCTTATGTGTTTAAAATAAAAATTTATTAAATAAAAAAAATTATGGGGCGGGTTTCCTCTTGGTAATAGGGGACTAGAATTAAAAGGTTATTAAAAGGCATTTCTGAATACAGCTAAGTCCTTGAGTTAACAGTCGTTCACTCATTTATTTATTTTGGTTTGTCAAACATGTAAAAGATAACAGGTATAAAGTATAAACATACGAACACAGTGAATGGATATAATAATAAATGGATATGAATAGTAAATGGATATTTATAAAGGACCATTCAAACTTTTGCAACATCCCGTGGGTCACACGATTAAAATTCAGCCGCTTGGCAATTGCATCCTACTTACAAGCAAAGTCGATGGGAAAGCCAGATTCCCTTTACAACTGGGTTACTAACTGTAATGATTCACTTAACAGTCCTGGCAAGAGTGGTCGTAAAATGAGGCAAAATTCACTCAACTGTCTCACTTGGCAACATAAGTTTTGGGGCTCAATTGTGATCTTAAATCGAGGACCACCTGTACCTTGAAAAATAAAATGGTACTAGGAGGAGGAATGGGGATGAGACTGTCAAGGAAGTGGAATGGCTACTACAACATCTTCCATATCTATCTCTTATTCCCTCCCTGCCATTCACCTGGAGTGGAAAGGTGGTTTGCGGCCTGCACTTATGAGGCTTCTTTCTCCTACCAAAGGGGAGAAGGATGCACGTAGATAACATTGAGTGCGCATACACGATTAGCCTAAAATAAGGATGGGCCTGTTTTGACTTCCTGGTATGTCTAAACCACCTCCAAATACCTGTTTACATTTCACAGTCAGTGGCAAACTCAGGCAGAAATGCAGGTCATCTGGTTGATGTTGCAGATCACTCCTCTAAAAAATGTCCCACGGTTGTTTCAGACGAAAATTAAAAGCAAAGGAGAAAAAGATAGGATTAGGAGGCTTCTGTGGAAGCTAAATATTCTTACTATTTACTCAGCTATCTGGAGAGACCAGAAACTACTGAAATGTTGTGACACACAACCCCAAAGGGTACCATGATTTGTGGTATGGCACCAAAAGCTGTACGTATATTTAGAAGGACTAATAAGTCAATATTCAGGGGTATCCAAGAGCTATTTCCCCTTCTAAAAATGTAACTTGAAGAGACAGTTGCTTATGGCTGATAATTATTCTTGATTTTTCCAATTTGCTCATTTCTAAAGGTAAATCTGTTTTTTTTTCTCTCTCTCCATAATTCCATAGTTTTGTTAGAAATCTTATGTTTCTTATTTGAAGAATGTACCCTTCAGCCTTTATTTTTTTAGTGATTCCATACTAGGTCAAAGACTTCTTTTTATTTCAGGTTTTGGCCGGCGAGATGTAGTAGAATACTTGCTTCAGAGTGGTGCTAATGTACATGCCCGAGATGATGGAGGACTCATTCCACTTCATAATGCTTGCTCATTTGGTCATGCTGAAGTTGTCAATCTTCTCCTGCGCCATGGTGCAGATCCTAACGCAAGAGACAATTGGAATTATACTCCTCTTCATGAAGCTGCCATCAAGGGCAAAATTGATGTCTGCATAGGTAACACTTCGATATTCTTTTTCCAGTGATTTCTACATAAAAAGTTCGAGAACCTGTCAAATTGACATTCTTGATTTAAAGTACTTTCAAATATAATCAGATATTTTCTTTGTTCGTTAAATATGTTGAATTTTGTGGGTGTTGCAAAAGAATCCTATTATTTTGCTTATGTTTGTGGGAAGTTGGCTGAGGAATTAAGAGCCAAGGTGGCGCAGTGGTTAAATGCAGTACTGCAGGCTACTGCTAGATCAGCAGTTCAGCGGTTCAAATCTCACCGGCTCAAGGTTGACTCAGCCTTCCATCCTTCCGAGGTGGGTA